TTTGGATAAAGATACTCAAGTGTGAAAATGTTGATAATTTAGCTGAAGATCCTCCCGTGTGCTAGTGTTGATAGTTTATATAAAGATCCTCAAGGTGTGCCAATGTTGATAGTTTAGCTGAATATCTTCCAGTGTGCTAGTGTTGCTAGTTTGGATGCAGATCCTCTAGGCGTACCAATGTTGATAGTTAAGCAGAAGATCCTTCAGTGTGCTAGTGTTGATAGTTTGGATGAAGATCCTCTAGGCGTACCAATGTTGATAGTTAAGCAGAAGATCCTTCAGTGTGCTAGTGTTGCTAGTTTGGATGCAGATCCTCTAGGCGTACCAATGTTGATAGTTAAGCAGAAGATCATTCAGTGAGCTAGTGTTGATAGTTTGGATGAAGATCCTCTAGGCGTACCAATGTTGATAGTTAAGCAGAAGATCCTTCAGTGTGCTAGTGTTGATAGTTTGGATGAAGATCCTCTAGGCGTACCAATGTTGATAAGCACAAGATCCTTCAGTGTGCTAGTGTTGATAGTTTGGATGATGATCCTCTGGGCGTACTCATGTTGATAGTTAAGCAGAAGATCCTCCAGTGTGCTAGTGTTGATAGTTAGGATGAAGATCCTCTAGGCGTACCAATGTTGATAGTTAAGCAGAAGATCCTTCAGTGTGCTAGTGTTGATAGTTCTGATGAAGATCCTGCAGTTTGCCAGTGTGCTCGTGTCATGTTGATTGACTGAGATGACAGGCTGGACAATGGATAACCCACGCGTTCACTCCCATCGTCCCTCGCCGCGCCGTGCCGTTGTGCTGCTTTCGGACACCATAATTACTGTAAACCTGTGATGCTTTTATGGTAAATCTGTAGGCCGGGATGGGACATTGGACACAAGGTTCTCACATAATTCCGTCACTCCTCTTGCTGATGACTATTTATAGGCATGTGCATTTTGTTTGCTCATAATCAGGGATTGCCGGTTCTTTTACTTCATGCATGTGCATTTTGTACAACCATTAGGCAATTGCATAAAATTGTATAAAATCTAACTGTCACAGCTTTTGGCTTTCGCCCGTGATCGGGTTATCTTTTAGAGACAAATTAAAACTTCTTGTTACAATTTACAATGATTATCTACCTTTTTTGTTGCTTTCGTCCTTCTAGATAAAGGTTTGTAGTCGACTTATGTAGATTTCGCCAACTTGTGTAGCGAATTCAGGAGGTCTTCTATAACACTGACACTAAAAAATGTCATTGTCTATTTACACAAAATATTGTTGGTCAATGTCTTACAGTTTCATTTTGTTATGTGTGTGGGACGTTGTTTTTATAAGTGCATTCAATGTTTGTCTACTTTGTAGGCCTGTAATGGATGCGGAATCACATTGATGACCGGTATGATGAAATATTCTTCTTTGTGTGTTTTATCAATGGTTTGAAAATGGACGGAGTTATTATTTGATAAGTATTTTATTTTACTAGGGGACGAATCTGGGTTGTCATTCAGAAAACCTTTTATTTTTATGCTACTCTTTTGTCTTACCTTCAATTTTTAATAACAGTTTTTTTTTCGGAAGGAAGTTGTTATCTTTAGTTGTTGGATCATTATTGTAAATGATAACAACGCACACTTATAGTAAACTTGGTTATGAAAAGCATTGTCACTCTACAAATTGTTGTCAGCGTCACTCGAAATTGTTCACCGTTGATGAAATTATTAATTTAAAAGTCATATATAAAAATTGTTATTTCCTAGGTCTATAATTATTTGTTTATGTAGTTTTAGAGTTAAATCCAAAATACCTGTTTCGTCTTAAAATCTCCCAATCTGAAAATAAAACGTAATTACATTAAATTGTAATTTTTAATTATATGTTTACGAATCACCACCACCAACACACTTCGCGAGTGTTTGTTACATTTTATGAAAAACAAAATATTCTTAAAAGTGAAATTTGAATTTAAGGGCCTCTTCATTATAACCTTTGACTATCAATGTTATAACGTAAAGATGTGGCGTCAAAAATAAATATTTTATATTGCCAATTTCCAATTCAAGTCGGTTAAGGCCTAAATCCTAGACAGTGTTACAAGTTTGTTGTTTGGTTTAAGTGGTTTGATTGTATTCCCCTTGATGATACATTTGATATGCTGCCGTACCAATCAGAATTGTGTTGTATCGAAGGTCTCGGTTGTGGTTGAGGTTGAGGTCGATTGTCTCAGATTGGCCGTGTCGAACCTCGACTGTGTCGTGGCGCGATGATAAAACTGGCCTTCAGCAGATCCAACAGATACAGCTCATTATAGCTTACATTACTTTAATATCTTTTCGTCCAGTTAACTTTGTAAAAGTAATCTCAAACTGATCCCTATTCTAAATCGGTACATAATCTTCATTTTACACCCGACATCTTGAGCACGTAATTTAGTTCAAATGCTCTAACTAAATCGTCATACTAAGGACATTGACAATCAGCAGAACCCTTTGCTAGCTATGTTGATTTCCCTGTGTAATCATGTAATTCTAAGTGAACACCGAATTGTAAAAGCCTTTTAAATGGTATAGGCCATCGAAGTGAGATTTTCGATCCCTACATATTGTGTACCATTTTATAGATTGTACACGCGTCTGCCTAAAGTCTCAGTCTGCACAAGGCATTTAATTAGTTATTGGCGGGCGTGTTCTGCACCTACCGGAAGTGTTAAGGAGAGCGAAGGTCCATCGGCCGGTTCGGTCTCGATAGCATCTGATGGACTGGGATCGGGGTTAAAGTCTTGATATAAAAATACCAGTTGTTTACGTTTGTAAACCTTAATTTGTCTTAATTTATATTTCGTGTTGTAATATTTCAAAAGTACCATGCATTAGCCTTCAGATAAACGCAATTTTTGTCGCAATGGAATTTTTAAAACTTCCATAGTTTTGCACAGAAATGCAGTGGTTGTCTAACGTCAATGAGTAAGGAGATTTTTTTCTCAAAGGAGAACTAATGCCAATGATATTCATCGACTACTGTATGCAAAACCATTATACATTGACGACTTGTAAATGGTTTATTTATGTAAATGCAGGTCTGTCTATATGTCAAGGGTGGAACAGAATGCAACGTTTTCCTACGATCTTTCATTGAGCAGTATTTATTATGAGGCTTCCGATGCAGAACGGAACACTGGCTGGATTCTTGCCAATGATAGACGATAGACGACAAAGGACGAATTTCAGTTCATAAACCCCTTGAAATCGTTTTGGCCGGGGATACATTTGCTCTTGAATAGGGACGTCTATTTCCATAGCGTGGTGCCGCGTCTGTTTTGGGATGGGGGATGCAAATTGAGGATTAGTACAACAAGGGAGGGTCCTTTCAAAGCTGCGGTCCCTCCTAGCAGCACTAATTTTCATTAGCTGGCCCTAAGCCATGCTAGACGTTTTGACACAAGGCTTTCAAAGGGTCAAGCCATGCATCTTCTAGTGTGTGGTGCATCAAAGTCAATGTTGCAGTAGTTTGTATAGTTAGAGGACATTAGCGCAGTGGTATGCGTCTCGGACATCGGAGCGGGAGGAAAGGGCTCGGTCATTTCCACCAAAGTTTGAGAGATTTGGACCACTTTCCTTTAAAAGCGTTATAAATTGCGTCATTGAAATTATAAATGGCGTAAACCCTAACCAAATAAAATGTATTAAGGTTAGAATGACTAGTTATTGGTTTATAATACTACTTATTATAATTTAAATTTTGTTCTTATTTGTATTTAAAACTTGGCCCTTTTATAAAAAATACATGTTCTCATCGGATTCCAATCGATAAACTGTTGATTTTTTTTATAATACAATTATCTATTTTACAATATATTTTTAAAGTTAGTAATGTATTTTTATTATGAGTACAAATACGAGTACTCTACTGCATAGTTTTGATTTGATGTGTTATCGGTTAAATTTCGCGATGACTGTCGTGCGTTTTGACGTATCGATCGGCTATGACTCGAGATCAACATACACAGACGGACTGGGGGATCTTTATAGTTGTGTTTACGACTTGAGTTCGCTGGTTGGGAGAAAGTACTGGAGTTTGTAGAGACGTTGCCTTATATGGCGATGTTGTCTGCTCCCCTCCATCTCTCTTCACTCACACTCCCTACATTCAATGAGTGATTGCTCTGTCCATAGTACAGTACCTAGTACTATAGAACTGTGGTTTGCGAACACCGATTTTACACAGACTCGTCAAATGGCAATCTGTATTCAATCAAAACAGTTTAATGAATTGATCCTCAGAGACGTTATTTTGTTAATGGCAGGTGATTTGATCAGGACGAACAAAAGTTTAAGCTATACGTTTGAGTTCAACATGCATGCTTTTTTCCTATAGGTAGTCCTACTTAAGTTATTAAATAGATCATATGAAAAAAATCATATAAGAACGTTCTTGCAGTTATGTTCTATGCAATCGAAAATATTTATCTTATTCTGGGCTGGTGCATAATTTTACTGAGCATCGCTCTATCACCAGATATTTGTTGATAACACATATTAATCAACCATAAAATCCTCTTAAATAATCTGGTGCAAACTAGATGTTATGTCTTTTCCAAATCTTGTAACTATTCATTTTTCTTTAACTTTATATAAAGACTATGAAGACTGAATCTGGATATTCAGGTTGTTGGCTCTTTCCAAAGCAGGAAGTGCCAAATACAGGTTTGGCGGCCCAAATCAACACACACTCAAGGTTCGTAATTTTGAACAGTGTGTAAAATATATTGCGATTTCAGCAATTTTCATTCTAACTAGTTCCCTAGGGCTCTCCTGTTGAGCTTAGTTTTTTTTATCAAATGGTTTCATTCTCCCCATGCAATCAAAAAGTTAACAATGTCATCATCATTATTTATGCTGTTTTATTTTTACAAATTAATTATTTAATGATTTAATGAAGATTTTTCGCTATAACAGCTCATGTCAATGTCTCGTAAACACGTTTTAAATGAATTTGAATAATTAAAGAAATTATTTTTTCAGGATTCTGGCGCTGGAGGATCGACCGATGAAGATGATTCCGCTAAAAATAATAGAAGGTGAGACAAAATACATTCATGTACTAGTCATAATATTTGCTGTTTCTTCTAGAAGTGCTTCACTAACCGTAAATACCAACCTATGTTTGCTGCAACGCAGATTGTTTGGTATATCAGAATGACCTGCTGCAGTCGTGCTACGATTAAGTGCGATTGATAGTTATTCAAATATAACAAGTTTAGAAATAGAAACAGCCGAACCCTAAACAGTCTGTAAATCTATCCTTGTCCCCAGGATTCGACAAGTTGACAAAACCAGTTAACGTGATGTATACTTACTATGCACTGCGGGAACGTAGGTGTCAACATGGGACACAAATAAAATAGACGTTGTACTTGGTTTACTATTAACTCAAGGCAGTTCACTTGAAACGTTACCGTAATCAAAGGAAATCATGTGTATTCATAAAAATACATAAAGGCTACGTTTCAAAGTTTGTCAGGTTTCATAAGAGTTTATATGTCTGGTATAACTGTTGCTCGAATCCGAACAATTGCGAAGTAGGTATTACAGGCGTTACTTTAAAACGAATAACAGCCATAATTTCCGATGACTTTAAAAGAGTCGACTCAAAGATTATGGAAATACTCACGATGTACATAACAGTTCGATATAATCAACATTTCTTGTTGATATCTTATAATTTTTCAAAAGCTGATCTTGTTTTTTAGTGTTTTCTACAAATGTTTCCCACTCATAGCCGCACTAGGTTGTCCATAATAACGATTATAAATAAAAAAAAACAAAAAAAAATTCTTTCTATTTCTTCTACTTGGTAGTGTTACTTTCCTATGTTTCTGTAGTTTGCAAATCGGCACTTTCAATGATTGCTCAAGAAATGCAGCACAGTGTTAATTCAGTTTTCTTTTTTTTAGTGTATCAAATTGTCCAGGCTATCTCGATTTTTTCCATTGTAATATTTACGCCAACCCAAATTCAAATAGTAAATATTTCATTTCAACCAAGTCAGTAAATGTTTGTAGCACACGTTTCCTTAAATTTCATATTAACAGCAATTAAATTATCGAGCTGATCATAATATAAACAAATATGTTCTTCATAAGGATAACATGGGAACTTTAAAAGCCACTGGGACAGAGTCCAAGGGTTTTCAAAAATGTAAGGTCAGTTTGCAAATCTACACACCTAGACGAACATTTTGGTATATAATATGTGGGGTTAAATATTAGAACACTAAAGCCTAATTGTTCACAAAGTTCCATGTAGCGTATTAATAATATAGGATTTCATTACGTATTGCGTAATGTCAAAGCCTAGTTAATATTTATGTATCACTGATACATAAATATTAACTAGGACTTGGTATCACAGGATTTTAAATGTACTAGTTTAGTTTAGATTATCGCCGTGTTTCCAAAATCTACGTCTTGTAAGATTCTTTTTTCGCGTTATTTTCCATTTGATGAATCCAGTAGTTTAGATTCATACGGCTGAAGAGATTTTGTCCAATGAGATTAAGTCTACCTGTTTGAACTCGTGTTGTGTTCCAAGTAATAAAATCGAATAGGTCATAGGATTAAATGTTTATGATCAAATCTATCAGTATAGATTCTTGTTATGACCCTCGTGATCGAATCTGCCATTACAGACTCTCGTTATGACTCATGTGACCAAATCTACATTTTCAGACTCTCGTTATGACTCATGTGACCAAACCTACCCTTTTAGACTCTCGTTATGACTCATGTGACCAAATCTACATTTTCAGGCTCTCGTTATGACTCATGTGACCAAATCTACATTTTCAGACTCTCGTTATGACTCATGTGACCAAACCTACCCTTTTAGACTCTCGTTATGACTCATGTGACCAAATCTACATTTTCAGGCTCTCGTTATGACTCATGTGACCAAATCTACATTTTCAGACTCTCGTTATGACTCATGTGGCCAAACCTACCCTTTTAGACTCTCGTTATGACTCATGTGACCAAATCTACATTTTCAGGCTCTCGTTATGACTCATGTGACCAAACCTACCTTTTTAGACTCTCGTTATGACTCATGCGACCAAATTTGCCTTTTAGACTCTCGTTATGACTCACGTGACCAAATTTGCCTCTTAGACTCTCGTTATGACTCATGTGACCAAATTTGCCTTTTAGACTCTCGTTATGCCCCATGTGATCAACCAATTTAGACTCTCGTGATGTCAAGTCTCTCCCAGTTTAGATACGTGTTGTAGTGTTGTACACGTGCAACACTCGCGTGTCTGGGTGACGACCGTTTATCTCCACACTCTCTCTACAACGCCAGTCCTGTTTACTCAACTCCTCTCTAATACCAAACACAACTAATGGACTTTCCTCCTAGTCACTAGTCAGTCCCAAGTATCACAATCAAACTGTCATAAGCTACATACTAATCCAAAACTAAACTGTCAACTGTTCACATAATTTTTTCTTTACTTATCCTCTTCATTTCCACTATTTTATACTCAATGGTAATTATGAATATGGAGGGAAACTTTCTTTTCATCTAGCCTAAATTATATAGCATAATGTGTTTGCTACGAATTACTGTATCTCAAAACTAGATGTGGGATAAGGGGGCGTGCAATCTCTCACATGCGATGTACAATTAAGTTAGGGTTTGTGATACATTTTTAGTAAAATATGTATCATTCTTACAATTGGTTTAAATTTTTAATCGCTAAAACATGTTTATATATATAGCAAACCCCAGGAGGTATCAAAATTCGTCACGCCGTTTTAAATTAACGGGTTTCAATCAGAGAGGTCAAAGAGGTAGAATGGTGGCTGCAATGTATTAAATAGGTTTGCATTATATATTGATAGACAGATAACTGCTGCCCAATATGCGGATATCAGATTAAGGATAGGGAAGTTACTGCTCCCGACTCCCACGAGAAGGTAACGTAACAGCTCGTAACTGCTACCTGTCTGGAGCAGCTCCATTGTCACTGCAGGGCTGCAGCGACTTTATATAACAGTTATTACGCTCGTCACTGTTATTAGATTATCCTACAATAGCATCGGCGCAAGTCAAGCTTCGCAGTAATACATCGCAAGAGAACATTGATTCGATGTGAAGTTCATGTGCTTCGCTAAAAGGAAATTGTGTCTTTAAAAAAGTTAAATGTGGATCGTAGTGTTGTTAACATTTAATTGCTGTATGTAATTATGCTTAGCCTACTCGAGATAAATAAATACGTTCTACCTTGTTTCTCCATAAATTTCTCACTAATGTAGTGGTGAACGAAGTTGCATCATAATATATTATTATTGTCATATCATATTGATGCCCTTCGTTGCGTCATCTGGTGAATAGTGTCCCTTAACATGTTTCTAGATGTCAGTGTAGACTTGTGTGTTATTGTTGTATATTGACTGTCAGTGTGCTTGATCTGTTCGTTAAGCATTGTGTTGGCCTGAAATATACTGTTTATATGAGATTGCCATTGCAGTGCCCACCTCCGCCCTAAATAGGTTTGTTAACCAATAACAACATCACAGATGATTCTTTCTACTCGGTAGTCGGTAGCTATAATATTCACTACACTCCGGGTGATATCGGTCACAAAGGAGACAAGTTTCACCTCACAACTCCATCTATAGGTTAATGGTGCTCTATATCGTTCACCTTTTGTCCGTCTCCTCTCGGAGTAAATGTTAAGCGCTTGCCAGGCAAGACAAAGATCATCATTTGGCCCACTTTCGCGCGCATCCGGCCTTTTATTAAATTACTGACTTGACATTCATTATGTTGAAGTAGTTGTAGTTGTATAGGGCGCCCGTCGCTTCTTTGTTCTGTTGATAGCGTTAGAGGTGCATTGTTGTCATTCATCGTCCGTGTATAGTCCATATAGGCACGATTGGCACTCTCACTGAAGGTATCTGTTGCCTACTTCTGTTAATTGTCATCGACTCATCATATTGCAGTTGTTATTAGGTTAATTTTAGACCATTATCAACTTAATATCACACCTATATGTTCTTAGACTATTTTTCTTTAATTCTTAGGTTTGAATTTTTTTTATGTTATTTAAACTATTAATTCTTCATTTACCAATCAACGACATTTTAAAGTGCCAACAAAAAATACACATTAATTTTACATTTAGCATTGACCTGTAGGTTATTTAAATTAACAGAAAGTTATGAAATGGTTGTTTTATAACCATAGGGTTTATGTTTAGTAAGTAATAAAAGCTCTTTTTAATTTAGTGTGTTTATCATTTGTTTTGAAACAGCATTAAGAACCAAAATTAACTTTCAACATTATTAAAAAGAATGTTTACTCTTTGCACAAAGCATAGCCTAGGGGATCTTAATGTTAATCTATTAGTGCTTCATAGTCTGGCTGCTTCCTTTGTACTTGACAATACGACTACATTTTTTTGTCAATGTTAATAGTAATGCATATCATATAATATGTTTAGAGTACAAATAAAACCTTTTATTTTACCATTTTCACCACCATAACAACATCAATTTCTTTGATGCATTACCGCGAATGTTTGCCCAATAATTTATGAAGAATCACTCTGACTATTAACAACGTTATCCTACAGGGACCTGTGGTGTATTATTTTAATTAAAAATAATCCAATTCCTTGGACCATTGAGCTCACAAATTGGATTTATCACCATTAGAAGTTTCTCATCATTTCGTGATTAAACTGTTAATTACTTCCTATATACTAGTGGAATATTCAAGGTTAAGTGGTGTTTTATGTAACTTGAATGACGGGTTCTTTCATATAACCAGAGAGCACAGAATACAAATTTAAAAATATAAATTCTTTCTATTCTGTGCTCTCTGGAAATAACGACCAAACATTACATTGACGAAATTGTCAATTCGTCCCCACTAAAGTCTTCGACTCTAAAAATTGTGTTTACGCTGTAGGCCATACTACTGTAGGTGTGTTGTATAAGTAAAGGTGAAATTATACAAACTTTACTTATATTCTCGGCTCTTCACTCTCGCTTTAGACCTTAGCCTATAAACCCTA